GTTCAATCGGGAGAAGTGGCGTCAACATATCAGAAAAGCGGGCCCCGTCTACAAGCGGGACAAACTCTAAAGAATGAGAAGAAGAAGAAGATTAAGGGAGCTGTGGTGGTTATCTAAATGAAACAGTTGTTAATGCAGTCCCTAAAGTACGCATTCGGAAAATGGGAGTGTATAAAATAGCTCGTAAAGCAGCACCTGCTATCTTGACACAAACTTTGAGATACCTTTTTGATCTTCTGAACAACGTTACTGGCAGTGAGACCACTTCCACGGATAAGCAGAGCGCCAGTTTCACTTGCCCACGTGATCACGGGAAATCGACCGTGTTTGAATCCTTTCGCGATTTTCAGGAATGAATCGTCACCGACTGATGATGGTACAACGAATGCCGATGGATAGCTGAAAGGAATTGATGGACGATACAGTGAGGGTGAATAATTGAAAAACACAAGCGTACGTTTTCACTATATCGTAATGGGCATTAGCATGTGAGATCCTGAATATCGAATCTATTCCTCGAAAACGTAGCCGTTCATAATCGCAGAAGTGATGCCGATGTACATGGGTTGCACTCGGTGGACTAATTATACCACGAACACCTCAAAAAGACAAAGTCAGAGTGAAAGCAGTTAACCAAAATATATCTTTTGCTTACCTGACAAATCAAGATAGTCGCTAAGGTTTGCGGAAGCGTCATTTTTTGCCGGTTGAGTAGAGGCCTTGAATGATGACATGAACGGCGGCGATGGTGGCCATTTCTCATTTGGTCCCAACCGCCCCCGACTTGTAGAATCTACAAAAAATGCTGGAACTGGAATTCAAACAGACTATATGGGTGCTTGACCTATTGAAAACCAAACTAACTTCTGCATGGGAACCTTGCAATAGTCTTTTTGAGTTCGCGTATAGTGCTATACTTATTCTTCGAACTAGTCGGCAGTGTTGAGGTTAGCAGGTGGCTAACAGTATTGAATGCGAACAACGAATGAGGCAATATACTAGGCCAACGAAGAGTTGACAGCGATTTTATGAACGCCTCGACTTCATCACAACGAACCTACAAGATGGAGTTTAAAAGGGCTCTCTTTGCATCCAATAAATGAAGAATTACCTCCTCATCGAAAGCAACTTTTAGAAGTTGAAAACATGAAGATCGCATTTGGAGACCGTCGTGAAGCCCACTTGCCAACTGTCGAAATAAGGTCTTTTCGTTTAGTAAGAATCGTAATCGTAAAAGCGAAGCCAACGTGCAGCTACGTAGGTATGGCCTATCAAACATTTATCGATTCTTGCCCAGACCAAAGTGGCAGCCCTGGGGTTGATTAGAGGTTGTGTGAAGAGTCTTCGTTCATTTTCATTTTTCTGTTGTCAAGTCTTAGGGGATTGCTTCAGAGCGTTTATTGCGATACATGTGCAAGTGCAGGTCAATGTGCTTTTCACACAATGCGCTCTATCTGCCACGGCACTTCACCACAGTTAAGGCTGAAACTATCGCTCTTGACTCGAAGCAGGTTGGGCTACTTCCGCTTTATGAGTTTAGAAAAAGCGTCAGTCCAAATCGTGCGACAAGGAACATTTGTAATGCAATTGGATCCTCCTCTGTCTCTTACAGCACGGCAAAAAATCGGTACCACAAGTTCGAAATTGGTCACTTCGACTTGACCATAAAAAAAAGGATCTGGGGAACCAGCTGCGCTGAATAAAGACCACCTTTTGGGGCTCGTTGAAGAGGATTCCAGGCGAGGTACCCGTGAACTGGCACAGGAGCATGATAGTCATCAAGACGTAGCAGTTGCCCATTTGCATTGTCTCGGATAGACTTGGAGATACGGCATATGGATACCTTATTAGCTGAGTGGATACCTGCATGCTTGAACTTGTTGACTTTCCAGCACACCTACTCATGATTGGACGACTTAACCATCAGCGACGAGAAGTGAGTTCTCGTCGTACACCATGAGCAATCGCAGTGGCCTGGACGTTGAAAGCATGCAATTCCGCCCCTCAAACCGGAACTCCAGCCTAAAAAGGCTATGCTTAGCGGTTGGTGTAATTCGAAAGAGATCGTTCACTGGAAGCTGCTGCTACTAGACTCCACTGTCACCGCCGAAGTCTACTGTGCTCAGACAAATAGCATTGTTGCAGCTCTACGAAAGAAACAGCGGGAAGTCTACTTTCTCCACGACGATGCTCACCCACACGTTGAGGAATTCGAAGCTTGGAATGGCATGTCCTGACCTACCCATCGTATTCGCCGGATCTGGCTCCAAGTGGTTATCACCTGTTCCTGTCGCTATGCCACTCGAAAAATAAGTTCTATGATGTGAACCAACTCGAAACGTGCATCGGTGATATTTCTCCTCGAAAGTTCAGGAATTTTAAGCAAGCGGGGTCCACAAGTTTTCATAAGTGGTAATATATTTTCGATAATGATGGTGCAAATATCTGTTGATTATTAGGTGTTGTGAAAGAAAGTTTCAAAAAATTGCATAATGCGCAAACTTTTCAGGAAACCGGGCTCCCGTAGGTCGTTATATAGAATAAATACACATTACGTCACTATGACTTCAAGTGTGCTGATTGCGTGGATCCAAGCAAAAAAGAATTGGTCAGCGCGAAACGTTCATCACTACCGAATTCGAGTGGTTTACAACGCAGTACGGATTTAATCGTCCCGTGAATGTGTTACACAGTAACCCGGACACGCGCTGAAGCGCCTCCAAACACCCGTCACATATACGACGCAAAGAAAAGGTACCCCGGGTGAAGCCCACGAGGTGGATGCTGGACCCGTTATGTATACACCAGGCAACTACGCACGTTATCGCGTGCGCTAAGGGCTCTAGCCATGAGAAACGGAGTCACACGAGCTGCTTATCATTATAGACCTAATATCGGGTTCATGAGTTTCCGCTCAAACCCCGCTTCTTCTGAACGGGGTCCGGTCCTGCCACCCACCATAAGTTTTCCCAGCATGGCCCCTGTATTCCTATCAAGTTTGAACTTTCTGAGTCCATGGGGACAGGACTTATGAATTTTCGTTCAAGCCCCGCCCCTTGCGGGCGGACTCTGGTTTTGCCACCCACCATAAGTCTTCCCATCTTGTCATCTGTGCTCCTACAAAATTTGAACGCTCTAGTTACACTGGGACGGGAGTTATGAATTTTCGCCCAAACCCCGCCCCTAGTGGGCGAAGTCTGGTTCTGCCACCCACCATAAGTTTTCCCACGATGGCGCCTGTACTCCTATCAAGTTTGAACTTTCTAGATCCATAGGAACTGTAGTTATGGATTTTAAAATATAAATGTAAGAAGGGATGTGAGCTTCGAGGCACGCTCCGCCCACTGTGGGCGGGCTTCCGCTGACGTCATTTATGCTGGAGACACCTTCGACAATGCTCCTCCCATATCAACTTTTCCTGCTCTGTTGGCTTTCTCCAAACCGAGTTATAAATGTTTTCATAAAGCACTGCATTTTTGGAGAACGCCCCGCCCATCGGGGATGGGTCTTCCCAGATGGATCTAACCTACCAATGCACACCTCTAGCCACCCTCACACTCCAGTTTTGAAGCCGTCTTGTGACTGAATTTGAAATCATAGTCCTCGTACAGCTCATTTCGATGCACGCCACGCCCACTGTGGGCTGGGCTCCGCCAAGTTGATGTGTGCTTTATATTTCTCGGGACATGGCCCACCCATCCTACGCTTGACCCGGTCTCTCCAGGCACATCTAAAGGAGCTAAGGAATTTCGTGACAGACATACAGACGGACAGACGACAGACAGACGACAGACGAAGCGCTTTATACGAGGGTTGTCTTTTATATTTTGAGATTTGGCAACACTAGTGTAGCAATCTAGCAGCTGACACCACTATCGTAAAGTTTGACTATTTTGAGGTTATGTTGTGAAATTTGAGCGCGACTTGTGTTGTCTACACTAAGTTATAAGATTTTGTTTAGGCCAAATTATGGAGTTGAATCGTGAGCATTTTCGCGCGATTACTTTCTACAACTTTCGACGTGGACTAACTCAACAGCAATGCATGGATGAACTTAGTTCAATTTTTGGTGATAAAGCTCCATCCTGGGCCAGTGTTTATAGATGGTACAGTGAGTTCACCCGAGGTCGTACTTCACTCGAAGAAGAATTTCGTGAAGGTCCTCCAAAATCAGTTTTTGTTCCGGAAACCGTTGATACTGTGCACAAACTAATATTGCAAGACAGACTGTCATGCGACATATAGTGAGATTGGGACAACATCAGGCATTAGTGGGACTAGCATACATTCAATATTGCATGAACATTTGAATGGAAAAAAAAAGAAACGGATCACTCTTCACCACAACAATGCGAGCTCCCACACAACGGCTCAAGCAACTGCATTTTTGAGCACTCAAAACAACGATTTAACAGGTCATCAGCCATGTAGTCCCCGGGTGACTTCTTCTCATCCCGTACGTAAAAAATTAAATGAGAGGTCCGTTTTTCGACACCTGAAGAAGCCGTTAATGCGTTCAGAATCCATGTTTTAGAATTACCTACATCAGAGTGGCAAAGTGCCTCAAAAATTGGTTCGAGCCCATGCAGAAGTGTATAGATCTTAATGTGGAGAATTTTGAAAGGCAGTAAAGCGATTTTCAATAAGTAGTATTTGTTTCTGTTCGCAAATCACAAAATATAATAGGCAGCCTATGTAGTAAGTAGGAACATTAAACTCCGATGTTTACAACATTAAGGCAAGTATTGATCATAATGAAAAAGATATTGAAAGAGGTAGGTTGAAAAACGCACTTTCCAGAAGCAGACAAAATAAACTTGCAAACGTTTCAAAGCTCTCTCTTCTGAGGTTTTAGAAAAAAACTCTTCATTTCGAGTATCGATTAAAATTACAAGTTCAACCATAACGCAATCGCACACATGCAGATTAGCTTTTCCCTCGGCTTCCCCTATGCAGAGGAGTTTTTGATTCTTCTCACTAAAGAACTACCCACACTAAACATGAAAATAAGATGTTTCTAAGAATTTTACAAAACATCTGTTTCACGCTCTGGATAGACCTAGTATTGGAAGCTCTAGAAAGTTTCAAAATGGAAGAAAAAAGATAACCAGAAAATTTGACGTAGAAGTTATACCTTCATAGGGATGCCGTCAAGCTGTCCACTTGAATGCAAGCATTGATCACTTATAGTCTTTTCTTTCGTTAACGTCATTATCGGAACAGTTCTGACGACGACATCGTCCGTCACTGAAAATTCATATACAAGAAATCCTCCGTCTGTGCACAAAAGACCGGGTTCCAATTTCTGCATCAATGCATATGCACCTACCCCCGCTGCGGCAAAGGAAGAGCGAGAGGAGTCTTACAGACTTTCGGAGACGACGATACAAGAAGAGGAGAGCTACTATAAATATGTCGTAGGCTACTTCAACGCCGTCGTGGGTACGAACTGCAGTGGAGATTGGAGGCTCGGGTCTCATGGCTCTGGCGACAGGACCCAACGAGGAGAACTTCCGAACCTATTATATGCGTGCCGCCTTTCCCATGGAAATTCCATGTTCGAAAAACCAGCTAAGCGACGACAGACTCGGGAGAGTCCAAACGGCCGAACGCATACAGAAACAGATCATGTTCTCACTGATCGACGCTGGAGCCTACTTGATATATCCGTGTTGCCCTCTGTTGACAGCGGCCCGGATCATCGCTCAGTGCGCGCAAAAATACGACTCAACAAGCGGATATTCAAGCGCGACACGCACAGGCCTGCACACTTCAAGACTCCCTCTCTTGATACAGAACTACTCGAATCTACCATTGAAACTTATGATTGGGGTCTTTTAGAGGATCCCACAGAAGACTGCGAATACCTAACAAAAGGCTTGCGTAAGTGTGCAGACATTTCTCGTTCACAGCTAGCCCGAATCCCGAGGTTGAATGCTCCTGCCGTTTCCCTCTTGGAAAAGGGAGAGCACTCAAACAGGATCCCACCGCCAACCACACGGAAAAACAGAGCCTGCCGTATGGCTGTCAAGAAATCTCTTCGGGAGTACAGGAGAACCAAGTTATTGAAAGCAGTCGAAGCGCGAAGCGAGATCGAGCATCAAGAGCTACAAACGAGATCTCAACGATCAGAAAGCTGTGATGTCGGCTCACATGGACAAAGATGGGAGTGTAAGAACGTCTAGAAGTTCTGTGGAGATCATCGTTCAGAATTTCCCACAGAACTCTTTGATTCCTCCACCTTTGTGCCTGAATGCTCGTTGCCGTCTTATGAAGAGCCCCTCACTATCCCAGGATCGGAAGTGGCAAATGCGATGAGAAGCATGAAGAAAGGAACAGCTCCAGACTTGGACAATACCTCTGCGGATTTGCTCCTTTCTGGAAATGCCGCTCTTCACACCCTTTTGCTGAACACTTCAGCCGCTACCTCAAATTGAAAAGGATTCCAGAGCAGTGGAAAAAATCTAAAAACATTCTTCTTTTCAAGAAAGGTCAGCGGGAGGATATCTCCAACTACCGTCCCATCAGTCTATTATCGGTGATTTACAAGTCATTCACGAAAATTCTGCTCATTTGCATGGAACGAATTTTGGACGAATACCAGCCAATAGAGCAGACCTGATCCAGGAAAACTTCGTGCATGGACAACATCCAAGCAGACGGTCAGCTTAATGAGAGAAGCCAAGAGTATCGCCTTTCTTTGGCCCTTCGTTTCGTGGACTACAAGAAGGCGTACGACTCTGTGGAGATAAGCGCTAATTTATAATGCCCTTGTGCAAGCTGGAGCTGATACCGCCTACGACAACCTGCTCCAATAGTGCCTTCAAACACATCAATATTCATGAGTTGTTCGAGCAAAAGCTGACGATTCCAGTTGGAAAGAAGGTTTGACAAAGAGATACCAGATCCCCAAAGCTTTCCACGGCTGCGTTACAGTATATGCGGTGTTAAACCTCGACTGGAAAGAAAGGATATCCCGTAACGGCAAGAAGGTCAATAGCCTCCGCTTCGCGGATGACATCGTTTTGATATATAGCAGCACCAGCTGAAATGGAAAAGATGGTCAACGAACCCAATGCGGCAAGTCAGCGGATAGGCTCGGAGATGAATATGTCCAAAACGCAATTGTAATAATGGTTAACAAGTGGTGCGAACGGGAACAGTAAGATTAGAGGGAAAACTCTGCAAAGAGTTGAATCCTACGTGTATCTGGGAAGAGAGCTGAACAGGATGAACAATATCGCTCCAGAACTAAATCGGAGAAGACGTGCTGCATGAGCAGCTTCCGGTTCAGCGAAGTGACGGACCAGGTCAGCGATCCCAACCTCAAGATATTCAACGCCTCAGCACTGCCACCGACGTGTTACGCGAACGATTCGTTTTCCAAAAATTTCAGAGAAAGCGGCTTACATTGGATGCAGGTCGCGAAAGATCGGACGGTATGGAGGAGTTGTGGTCCCCGCTGAGAAGAGCCTCTTGCCGATGGACCATCAAAACGTCAAAGTAAGTACAAGAAAACCCACTGAATGGATTTGTCGGTCGTCCTTTGAAAATAATGCGGTAGTTGGTAAGGAACAAAGCTCCTTCAGCTGGAAGCAGGTTCATGCTATTTTCGGGATTGTCTGCGATTACGGGACATCCTTCAGGGAGCATCACGCAACGCAAACCACCAACGACCACTCGCTCGCATGGGGTGAGCAATACTGGTGTCAAAAGATTCGACTGAAAATGATAAGACTATGATAGAATTACAATGATTTAAAAAGGATACCTTCGGCGGAGGAGCTAGCTTGCGGCTCTCCGCGTGGACTTGTTCAAGATTATCGATATGAACGGCCACAAAACCAGGGATAACCTGTGTAAGTTTCTCAGTGAGGTGAGGATCAAGCCCAGCTGCCGAACATATCCGGTCAATCACACGAGATATCCATGCGACAACCTGACGTTAACAATTTCATCAAAAAACATGTTCGCCTATTCTATATCATTCACCCCGATAGAATGGGCAGAAAATGTGACCGAACGATCGCGACGCGGGCAGCCACTACGCGCGATTTTGAATTTTCGTAATACATCAGTGCGTGGCCTTAGATGCCTGCACCTTCTCATATTTTTAACAGACGCGATTAAAAATCGCCGACGGCTGCAACTTGAATTATTTCCCCGCGCGCGGATATTCAAACTGCATCCAGTGTCCGAAGCGAGCGTTGCTGTAGCACACTTTCATAGACATCCGTTCTGAGTTGTCAAAGCGTTCGGCTTCCACTCAAAATTGCAGTGGCTAAATAAATATGTACCCGTTAGTATGGCTTGCGGGGCAGTTGATTCCATGTCGATTCAAACAGTGCTATGACTTTGGTGTCTTAGGCGAAAGGTTGGCGCCTTTTCTATAAATGCAGAAAGATTGTTGGTCTCTCTGATAATCGAGCAAAGTACACGGTTCAGTGGTAGAACAAATTGGTTGTAGAACCAATGTGCGAGCACACATTTGAATGCAACATAGGGCGGTCTGACGTTGCAGTGACGCTACACGTTGCTGGTTCTACTACTAGCCTAACCCATTCACCCAATCATTCCTCTGCTCACCACTATGATAGCAAATTCGATACGTCCTACGTCTCTCTTATCTACTTCATCTGAAAACAGATTTGTACCCACTGTTGCTGCTGACCAGGGAAGGATCCCAAGTCAAAGTGGCCATTTGAAATGAGACCTACACTGCTCGACGTGTTTTTGGATGCTGAGTTCAAATCTGCTTTCCAAATTTGCTGAGCGTTTCTCTGAACGGAGTTATGAGGGGTAGTTTCAGAGGGCTTAACATGAGAAAACTTAAATCACATGAATATGCATCCTTTCTCAACGGCGGCTAGGTGTATTGGTAAGCGTGACGCTTCATGTGCGAGAGGCTAGGGTTCGTGTTTTGTGGAGGACGAAGTTTTTGCATAATATAGAATTTTTTCCTTGAAGACTAGAAAATACTCCCATGGCGTTTTTATCACTTTCCACGACCTTTTGATGCTTTTGCTGATACCTTCTTCTACCTACCTACCCGTTACCGGGTGGGAGATGCCTCCTGCGCAAAATTTGGAGCTCCGGATGGCTAAAACGCATATGGTAAGCATTGCTGATGCTAGAGTGGGTGTTGATGCTGGATTGGGTGCGATGGTGCGTAGCAGCTCCAGACTCACCAACAACGGCACTGTTGATAATGGACTCGTGGACATCATTCAAAGACCAGAAAGCCATTCAGTGCGTCTTACCTCCACAAAAGCAGGTGTATGGAATGCTACTCTGCTCGAGGCTAACACGAGGCTGACACAGCCGATAGAGGCTCATTTCTTATTTCTTTCTGAAAAATTGGTTAAACGCACCATCTCATATGTAATAACTCATGATCTGAACTTCTGCGTGTGCACACGAGACCCCTTCCTTCGCTTACTATCGCTTGCCTATTTTCAGTTCTGTACTGTTAGATACAGGAAATTTCCCTTTTATTCATGGTATGCCGCCGGCTACTTATGGGCCCACCCTGGTGATTTTGGGACGCTTACACGATTCTGTTTCCATTCTGATTTGGGATTAGTAAATGTAAAGCAATGAGCTGCAACGAGTTCATTTCCATCCGTTGCTCCCATTGTGAGAAGCTTCTATGTTTCAAACATTTCATGCTATAGCATTACATTCATTCATAAAAAGGCAAAACTTGCCCTAGTGTGAATATAGAGTGCATGCGTGTAAAACTGAAGCATTACTTTATGTGGATAGATATCAGCAAAAGCATTAAAAGGTCGTGGAAAGTGATAAAAACACCGTGGGAGTATTTTCTAGTCTTCAAGGGAAAAACTCTATACTATGCATAAACTTTGTCCTCCACAAAACCCGAACCCTAGCCTCTCGCACATGAAGCGTCACTCTTACCACTACACCTAGTCGCCGTTGAGAAAGGGCATGTGATGTAAGTTTTCTCATGTTAAGCCCTCTAAAACCACCCCTCATAACTCCGTTCAGAGAAACGCTCGGCAAATTTGGAAAGCAGATTTGAACTCAGTATCCAAAAACACGTCGAGCAGTGTAGGTCTCATTTCGAATGGCCACTTCGACTTGGGATCCTTCCCTGGTAAGAGAGATGCTGTAGGCAAGGAAAATGGTATATCAATGAACATTTCTTCACCTCAAAACCTGCACCTGTTGTGGGAGCATGCATCGTCACGGCTCTCGTGTTATTCTAACCGGCTAAGTGTTTCAACTTCCCATGGACCTTTGAGTAGATACCTAGCTATATCGATAGAGTTTGGAATGCTATAAAACTGCGGAATGAAATTGACGAAAAAGCTACGAGCCATCAAAGTCTGCTTGCTCAAAGCTGGAAGAGATAGTGCCAAGTAAAATGCGCAGTTATCCGATACGGCAGCAAGGGCGCAGTGACAGTGGCCTCCCTTTCAAGGTTCCTTGACGTCGTGCCAGTTTTTTCAAAACGTACTTCACATTGGAGAGAAGCTTTGATAATATTTGCTGAGAAATATTGAGCATTTGTATAACATTTTTGATTTTTATTCTACATTTCAGCCTTAGCTGACGCTCGCGTTCTTGTATAAGGCAGAATGTTTCTGCAAGTAGATTCTATAAGTCTCTTCCAATTCCAAGACCATGAAACATCCACAAGATGAATCATCTTGGATTAGATGCTCGCAAAAAAACAACATTTAGGGGAAAACCCAAAAAATGTGAACATTGTTAACAACCTGTTTCCTCCGCAGGTTTTTTGGTTTGTCTCATCGATCTTGACGTTGTCTATGTTCCAAGACGATTTCACTTGGGTGTGTGTTTTAATGTTGAAAGTGAATAAGCGCTCAAGAGATTGCGGGAAAAATTGTTTTAAATGAGAGCGACGAAGTAAGTTAGTCGAAACAAGTCGCTTGCTTGAATTGGAGTCAAAAAACCGTATGAGAGCATTCACTGAAGAGAAAGCGCGCTTCGCAAAAACTGGGTTAATGGCGGGAAGCAAACCAGGGAGACCACTACCACTGCGCCACGGCGACCCGTGCTGCTGAAGCGGGCAGCTGCACATTTCTATTGGCTCTATCTCTATAAGTCTGAAACATGCAAACTTTGATGGCTCACAAAGCTTAGGCAGGCTCATTTAGCAAATTCAATTTCCATATTTATAAATAGCATTTCAAACTCTATCGATACAGCTAGGCCTAACTCAAAGTTCCATGGGAATCCGAAACTCTTCCTGACAAGAGAGATTAGTTTTTCTTCACGGATTTCGAATTCCATCTATTCTTTTCTCTTCGAACTTATGCACACACATGTTGCCTGTGCTTCTACTTCGTACTACTTTCATTCACTTTTCAAGGCAAAGGCAAGGCCTAGTGAACATGATTGTTGGATTGGAGTTATCCTCTACTCCTTCGTTAACCTTCGTATGCGTGCATCTAAAAAATACCGTGGTTCCACTGAGATGAGGAAAATCCGCAGTCAGACCATAATGAGATCGTCGAAGGATGAGACTATCCAATGACTTTTTGGTCTCTTCTGTCGGATAGGATAGCACAACAATTTTATTAATTCAAAGCTCGCAGTGCATTATTAACGGCAGAAGGTGTTGATTATAAGTGCAACGCTGTTAATTTATAGCAGTACTGTAATGTGTGCTGTCAAAATGTTCTGAAATCACAGCATAGAGGTATCAACCATTCACGTGTATCCACTCTCACCTTGATTTTTCCATTACAGAATAGATCTCATTTATGAATCTCAGTCACGGGACAAATAGATATTAATGACTATCGATTGATTTGATTTAACAAAGCTACGTTGGTATCTGTAAAAAGATCTAGCGTAAGTGTTTCTCCCAAATCACTACCCTTATAAGAATCATGGAATTTCCAGGGCGGAAAGAGAGACAGGCAAACACACACACACCCTCATGATGCTAGATGCTCACGTCAACAGGTGCCATTCTTAAGGGGAGGGACTATGTGAGAATCCGACTCTACGCAGCAGTACCTCTTGCAGCACTATAGAACTGCCAGCTTAAGAAGTGCGAATAAATGAAGAAAACGGAGGCAAGCAACGATAAAACAGAATGGGATGTCGAATTCATCATAGTTCATCACAAAGGAATAATTTTTGGGAAAACTTAGGCGAAAAGCAGGAGAAGTCAACCAGCGACGTGAAAGGCGATTGCAAGGCTAGCGCGCTAAATATTGCATTCAAATATGCGCGTGCGGGAAAAAAACAAGATGTAGGAACTTCTACCAAGAAACGCGATCACTTACAACTATTTAATCTTGTACAAGCCTGGACAATCTCGTATCTTGTATCTTTTTCAGAGGTGAAAGTACTTGATTCCATTCCAATCAAAAGTCCTGCAACTTTGACCCACTGTGCAATAATTCTTTCAATCTTTGGCATACTTGAACGGCTCCATGGATGGGCCCCGTTCGTGGGCCAGTTTCCAAAACATCGTTTGGACAGTTTCTACTAACTTTTCCTACTAACAGTTACAACTAAACAGTTTCTGCACATTTTCATTCATTTACTTATTGTGGATGATCAAGTTGATCCACAATCACTTCTAATCTTCTAGGTTTATCACTGCCTCGCAAAATCCACATTGCAACAGGTACACTAATACGAAACTTCTTTTATTTTCCTGATTTATTATTGCATTACACTGTCTATATTTCTAATCGTTTTTATAGGTCTCATTGTGGGAGCTTGTGCTGATGAATTCTAATAAAATATGTATGAATAATGAAGTAGGTTCCATTGAAGACGTATTTGCACTGATTAGTTTATAGTGTTGTAGAAGATGCCACCAAACTAGACAAACTTCAAAATCAATTTTCCTCACTACTGATCCGAGGAGCTGTTTTTAGCGAGCGGAGCAAAGAAAGAAGCGAGATGCTGATAAGAACAGCGAGAGTTAAAAATGAAAAGCTATTGCCGTTGTCCTTATTATGCATCCAATGATTTGCGATTATCCATGATATCAAAATAATAAAAAATACACTTGTTGTTGATGTATTACACAACAGTTCCAAAGGCTAACATACAAACAAGAAAACTATTAAATAATTTAACCTTACACAAAGATTTGAAAGTTTTTTACGGCATCGAGGTTCGTCAATGCAGAACAACTATGCCATGCAAAAACAACCCACGAGTGCTAAGGTGTCTGTAAACTGAAGAGCTTCGGAATATAAACAGACTACTAAGGGGTCAATCTCAACAAAACATGATGCAACAACAGGTGAGATGTTTAGCAGAAAGTGTTATACACGTAATGCTAAAGCAAACATTAGTGAAATGAATTCGAGGATTGTCTACCACAAAGAAGCCGCTACGGGCTAGAATGGGCTGGGAGCCGCCTACGCGACCTGCACCAAATAAGCGCCGATTTTTATAAATGCAACAATCCCAGCTGTGGAAAGGGTGAACAGGGAATTATGTACTACAACTTCCAAACAACGAAGGAAAAAAGTATATGAAAGGGACAGAAATGTTCCGTTTCACTCTGCTGATGTAGTGGAACTTTATGGCAGAAATTTAAGTGAACACTTCCCGAAGTGATTTTCGATGTGAGAGTGCGCTTAAAGAACCCGAATGATTGGCTGCTGACTCTGACTTCGGTGAAGTTTGGATGCTCACCGTAGTTTCATTTTTAAAAAATGGATGCTCATCATCCCATTGAATCTGCGCATGACAGCGATCCTTTTAACGAGGAGTACAATCATTTTTTCCTCCAATAACATGGAGCTTCGTCAGGATACATCATTTTCCAATTTCAGCAGTACCTCATTTTTTTCTTTCCTACTGCTCAATAAGAAAGAGACCTTTGAGCTTGCACCAGATCAGGGAATACTCGCACCGAAGTGCCGAACAACTCAAACAAGGTCGGCCATTAGCAGTCGCGAAGGTTTAATTCGCACAAGTTGCCGAACATATGTATATATTTCGCCATATGATTGCGAACATGAAAACAAAAGGCCGTTCCGACCACCACACTCGCAATGAAAACACTCGTGCACAAATGACGATGCAGCAGAGAAAGGTCAGCAATCACATATCGCGAATACCAATGCAAATTAGATATGTTCCACTTGCTCAACGGAACGGCACATATGTATTTCTCCTATCGCAAACGGTGTCGTATTAATTTGAATATTCGAGTGATACAAACGGCAGCCGGTGACGACTTTTAATTTTGTTCAAT